AGTTGCTAAGGGTGGCTGCCCGGCCTGGGAGCCACCCGATGACTGTGACCCCCTAAATGACCACTTGCTCGGGTACCTTGAATTGCTCTCCACCACCAGGGCCCCTTCCTGCATGGTCTCGAGCTAGTCCAATAGTAATTCTAACGTTTTTCGCTCACCCAGGCCGGAGCGGAGAAGGCTGGCGACAATCTCGCCTTGCACATGCGCAAACTGATAGCTGCTGGGGAATTGGTGGCCTGAAAAGTTATGATATTTATGTAGTTCTTTACCAAGCACATCTAAATTATATTAAAGTAACCAACGTGTCTTTACAATCCCCATGTCACAGCTTTTGAGTACCCCTAATATTTGGAATGCGATGGTTCAGTGGCCAGAACGGTGAGTTTGTCGATCAGAAAGGTCGGCGGTTCAAATCCCTAGCGCTGCGTAACATTACTGTCTCAGCTTCTGCCAACCCAGCAATTCGAAAGCATGTAAAAATGCAAGTAGAAAATTTGGGACCACCTTTGGTGGGAAGGTAACAGTGTTCCGTGTGCCTTCGGCATTTATCCATGCCAGCCACATGACCACGGAGACGTCTTCGGACAGTGCTGGGTCTTCGGCTTTGAAACAGAGATGAGCACCGCCCCCTAGAGTCGAGAACAACTAGCACATATGTGCAAGGAGGAACCTTTACCTTTACCTAATGTTTGGCAATTGAAAGTTGAAAAATTAGAGCCCACGTGATCATCTTACAAAGACTTTTAAGAGGAAGATTTAAAAATAAAAGGCAGGAATGTACCATTTGCTAGAAAACAAGCAAGGTCCCCGTATCTTTACCTTACACATCTCTTGAGAAAGCGAGCAGACGAGGTCTAAGTAAGTGAGGTAGATGTGTGATTTGAGGTGATGTGGAGAACTCAATTTCTGTGACTTTGCAGCTTCCCTGCAGCCAGATGTGTCCTGGGCAGGGGCAGATTGCAGTACAACCCAAAACTCTCCAGATTTGCAGAAGCTTTCTGGGACCCCAGCAGCGGGAGGAAGCAAAACAGGGAATGAGACATTGGAGAGCATTCAGAAGCTTCAGCTGGTGCTGTGTTTAGGATCAGGAGACATCCTGCTTTGGAAAGCACAAAAGCTTCCAAGGCACTAAATACGGAGTTTAGAAGAAATTCATTGGGAATTTCAATTTTGGAATCAATTCTCAGTTCAAGGAATCGACAAGACCAATTGAAATAAAATAAAATAAGTGAAAAGCAAGCAAACAACTGGGTTGCAAAAATGCAATTACTGGGAAAACAGCCCCATTTGTCTGATTGAAAGTGCTGTCATGCTGTTATTAAAATATCTTTTGATGGATTGTAAATGGTGCAGATAGTTCATAAAGGAGCACAACGGATTTGTCTTAAGGAAAAAAATGGGCTTCATTTTGAAGATGGAAGCAATCATTTTGATCGGGTGTTGATTGAAATCGCTCGCACCAACCACACGTTCCTTCCTCGTTTGAAACAGACACCTGTCTGGCTGGGATCTGATTTAGTGCATTCTTGCCATGAGATCCAATTCATCTCCAGGCCAAGAAGACAGGCTAATTAAAATATTCCACAGATATTTTTGAATGCATTATTTTGCTGCCAAAGAAGCTTGTATGTGACAAAAATACTTAACGTTTTTTTCAGGAAGGGTTGCATAGAAAGATTTGTAAATAGTGTCAGCACAATGTTTGCACAGAAGGAATCGGATGGGAGACCCAATATAGGTAGATGGATTGACCAAGTCTTGTGAATGCCAGCCACAGAAGAGACAACATGGTTTTTCTTGTTGCTCATCTTTTATTAAGGCTGATGTGTGTTTCCATTGGTCACCAGTTCCATCTTTCTGGAGCTTTGTGTTCTGACCTAAGCTTCCCCAGCATCAGGAAGCCAAGTCCTCATCTCAATAAACCTCTTATATTTGTTTACAATGAATTCCTCTCCAGCAAAGTCTTTCCTCTCCCACAGTCTTTCAAGATAGGTCACAATTACCAACCTTTATCAGGCTTTGAGAGTGGCCAGGTCGATATCTTTCAGATGCCGCAATACTTGGCAAGGATGCAGGAATGAACTAATTGTCTCCTGCAAACTCCACTCCCCTTTTGCTCTTTTATTTCCTCTGGGAGGGGCCATTCACCATCCACCTGTGGCTTTACTGCCAAGTAAAGCTGTTCGCTTCATCTGGCAACTCTGCATGTGCACACTGGGAACAGGCTTCAGCTGTTCTTCTGCCTCACTGATGTCTGACTCCGAAAGCAGCTGAAACTGTCAGACAGCCCTGGCCCCATCTCTGCTTCTGACACAGAACCCTCATCAGAGCCTTCCCCAGACTCCAGGACCGGCCCATGTTCCTCCCCAACCTCCTCACTGGCCGAATCTGCTGCTAGCTCTGCTGGCCTCTGGTAGGCCACAGCACTTTGTAGGGACCCATTTACATGAATTTTCTTGAAATGAAGATGAAATTGGCTGACATTAAGCACTTTCTTGAAAAACTGTTCTTAATCAGATGCCTGACCTGGCTCCAAAACTGGAGATCAAACTGAGAAAGACGCTTTCCATTGCCACCTCTGCCTTGACAGCAGCCATTGTAGTACCCCAATTCAAGCCCTCAAATGCATCCATTCCTGTTTTTAAGAGAGCTCTTTGAAACTGAGAGAAACCCGTAGTTGAAACTGATGCTGAGCTGACTGATCATCTGGGATTCTAGCAAAGCTAATACCCCAGCCACAGCAGCACAACTGGACTCATCTAGAGGAAAACATCTCTGCTATTGTAATCTTTCCAGGCCATTAGGCAGCATAATGCAAACCTACCCATTTCTTGGGAGTGTTAGTCATTTTAAAAAAGGTTATTCTGCCATCTCGGCTGAGAAATGAGAAATTTCTTGGTTTTCCCATGTAGCCTTCTAGACCAGACCCCGGGTGAAATGATTGATCTGAAATATAAACAGGAAACTGCTCGGTCATGACGAGTTATTTCCTAGAGGGATATTTTTCTAGCTCATTTTCTATTTTGTGAGTGTAATTCAATAGCAGCATTTTGTAGCCTATCTCATATAATGGAATATATCATTAGTTTTACAGCTAGATGTGTTGATTCTCACTGGATCTATGTGGCATCATGCTAATGGGTTTTTAATAGCAACCATGAAAAAGAGGCAACTTTCGCAGATCAATAATATGATTCGAGCGCCGCACTGTAAATGATTAAAATATTAGCAGGAGCTTCTTGCTTAGTAGGTTAACTTCCCCTCCCTGCTCTGCCTCCCCCTTGCAGACCCTTCTTGGCCTTTGGCATTTTAGCCAGGGAATTGGGTGATGTGGATTCACCAATTTTCTCTTATGTTACCAAGCAAACCTACAGTAGATATTTATGCACCTCCTTGGGGAGGAGGGCAGAATTGCAGAGACAAAGAGCCTGGGCAGGTTTTGGTTTTTCTGTCAGAGAGATTCTCAGAGAGCTTCCTTGGAGGCATTTTGTGCTGGCCGCCATTGCTGCAGTGGCCCTCTCTTGCTTGTCCTCCTTTTCCCCTTTGCAGTTGGGAAAGGCCGCAATGGAAGCACCCCCTAAGCCAGGGGTGTCCAAACTTGGGAACTTTAAGACTTGTGGACTTCAACTCCCAGAATTCTGGGAATGCTGGCTGGAGAATTCTGAGAGTTGAAGTCCACAAGTCTTAAAGTTCCCAAGTTTGGACACCCCTGTCCTAAGCCAAGGCCTTGGTGAACCACTTGAGGGAGGAGGGTAGAGGGAGGAGGGGGATGTCCTCAGGCCCTACTTCATGCCACCCAGAAGAATTTCATGGAAACTCTCGCAATTTGAAGGAGAACTGGGAGGGAAGATGGCTGAGGGATAATGTTTGTTCCCCAACCTCTCCAGCTCAGATCTGGGCAGAAGCCAAATTTGGGAAGAAGAATAGATATTTCATCAACATTGCAAATCCAGGACAATCCCTGGAAAATTACCCAATTCATCTTGCATGATTTCTAAAATCTTTAGAGTGAACCCAAGTTTTTTTCCCCTTCCACAAGCAGTTTCATTCTTTTCTACCTTATTTGGGGTTTTTTAATTGGCTTCTGCTCTCTTGCTTAACCTGAGGAGATTTTAAAGATCTCTTTTAAAGATCCTTAGTGTGAACTTTAGGGCAAGCCTTAGTCTGTTGTTGTGAGCCATCTGGAGTCCCTTAAGATGGGTAGGCCTATAATAAATAAATTTGGGGTTAAAAAGAAATATTTTTAGAAAAACGGGATAAGAACACTTTAAATTAAAGTATCCTTCCTGGAAAAGGAACTCCCTCCCTCCCTCCCTCCCTCCCTGAATTTAAAGGATGGAGGAAGGAAGGAGGTTCTCAACTTTCTTTTCCAGTGTATAAAACAGGAATAATAATGGTTGGCAATCTGTGCATGTTGCAAAATGGTTTGCAAATATTAATCCTCCAGCGTTTTTTGGAATCCACTGAATCCAAGTCATTACAGAAGAAATCCAACCCACCCATCACAATTATGTGAGTGAATTCAAAACAATTCCTGAGAAGATACTTAAAATTCATGCTTGCTGCTGCAATTGCAGGATATTTAAAACAAGGAAATGGGAGACTCTGCAAAAGTAGGAAAAATAGGGTTTAATTACGAAGAGTGTTTCCTGCAAATGAGGCAAGATATTAAAACTATTATTTAAAGACCTCTGTCCTGAAATAATGTGTTGCATTAAGCATTGTACAGTAACCCAATAAAGCTAACAAACTGCAAATTGCAATTGATTTGAATGGACTTTTTATGCCTGACTATGTGTAACTTTGCAGCCGCTGTGATTAAAAATAATACTGCTATAAGAAGCATCCATCATTGTGAATCATAAACGCAATTCAAAAGTCAATGAATTCTGAAGAATTAAAGTGACATATTTATGCCCATCTAAACTTCTGAAGGGGAACCAGGCACTTGCTTTTGAAGAGCAACCAAATGCTGAGGATTCATTTTTCTTGCCAATTACCTGCTTCTTGTAGGGTTTTTTTTTAATGGATTCTGGATCCGACACCAACTTCAGTACAATATAATTTCCAGCTGAATATATAATGCGCCTCAATTTTTCTACCAGCACTTTATCATCCAGATTAATAGCAACACAGGAGAATATGGTGACACACAGCATTTAGGTCAGCTGCACTGCTGTAAATTTGTTCCAAAACATTATATAGAACCTGTAAAAATAAATATTGCGTACTTTAAAAAGTATTGCACCCATCTATTTGGTGTCTCCTAGTAAGATTCTGTTAAAGTGTGCATAGTCCAAAGAAAATTTGTTTTCTTTGGACTATGTTTCTTTGTTACATCATCCAGTTCACTGGGACTGCGCATTCAATTCAATCAGAATAATTACTTGAATTTGGAAGATCAATCTGGTTTGTTCAGATGCCCAAAGTGATTCAATTGGAAGGAGCTAAATTAGACAAATGTGATTTGGTCCAGTTTGGATGCAAACATTTATAATTTGTTCATAAGAGGGGTATCAGAATTAATCTGTACTGAATTGATTTGAAGGCATCTGGCTTGAGTCAAAAAACTGAACTCAATCTTTGCTTCAGGTCAAAAACTCAGGTTCATTTGAGCCAATTGCCCTCAAACTGATTCCTGAACCAAATATTCACACTGGTCTTCCCTGTTCCTTAGTCTCTGGCTCCTTCCTGGTGGGTTTCCTGTGTCTGCTGTGAGACTCCCCCCCTCCAATTATTCACAGACTGGGAAGCTTATGAAAGAACCCATCATTCTTCGCCTAAGCCCTGCTCGCTTCTGTAGATGCAACCCCAGCTGGAGTCAGAGAGGAGAGCACATCCCCCAGACCCATTAAAGGCCCTGGGATGCTATCAATCAAGGACGCCAATAAAGCAGGTTCCCTAAATGTAAAGCAAGGTGATCCTTGCATTCAGATTTATTGGGTTGCTAAATTTGGAAGCGGCAAAGTAGCTTTTTAATTATTTCAGATACGGCTTCCAAGGAATGATTAACATTATTGTTGTACAATATTTTATCTCCTGCCAAAAATTGCATTCAGACATCATTGGTAAAATGGTAATTATGCTTCTGGATATTGCTGAAACTGATAAAATTGTAAGATAGAGTGTGCGGAAGGAATTGATGTTCCATTTATTATGTACTGGAATATTTAATATAATCCTATAACTCCAGAAGGGTATTTTTTCTATAAATGTATTATGATAATACAAATATTTTTCTCATTAAACAAAGTGGTTGTCTTAAGTGCAAATCGCAGCTGTGAAGTTGAGCAAGCAGCTCCCCTCAAGTGGAAAAAGAAACCCCAATAGCAATTGTAGGAAATTTTAAAAATGTCAACTTTAATAGTTACATTATATTTCATGGCTTCTTTGCTGTGGGATTGTATCCTGAAGTGAAGAATAAAACTTGTCGCTCGGACTGATGTAATTAAGAACTGTAATCACATGATTTCTCTTGCTGGCAAATAAATGTTGTTTTTGAAAAAGGTCTATTTGGGGAGAAAAGAAGGGTTATTCTGAAGAACATAATGGGCACTTCAAACAAGCTCTTTCACTGTTGTGCTAGTATGCAGACCACACCAACAGATTTAACATGTTTCTCCGTGATGGACAGACAGTGGAACATAAGCCAAAATGGAGAGTTTTCAGAAAATAATCCAGGGCAGAAAAAACTGAGATGTTAAAAATCTTTAGTGCACAACTCAAGTTCTAGTAGAAGATGCAAGCATGAAAAATTGCCTGTCTCCATGTCTGTATCTTCAGGTACAGAACTAAGACATATAAATGTGTATGTATATGCATGCATGTATGTATGTATGTATGTATGTATATATGTATGTATGTATATAGGATATATATTAGGATATATATTAGGATATATATTAGGATATATATTAGGATATATAT